AGCAATCAACTGGTCCTCAATCAACATAAGCAGGTTTGGGGTAATAGATTTCATGTAACTGAGTTACATTACCAGCCTTGTTTATGCAGAATTCCAAATCCTTCAATTACGAGCTATTAACAGTAGTTGTTGTAGTTATTCATTTAATTATGAATCAGCATTTCAAATAGTTTAGTGTATGACTAAATCAATTAAGTTTTAGCGAGTTTGTTTATTTTAATATTTTTTTGTCGGAATGTTGTGTTTTTTTATTCCTTAATCTTTCGCTGCGATGTCATCGGTGTAATGATGTCATTCAAAGATCAAAGCTAATAGAATGTTGCTTTGATACAAAGGCGAACATTCCGTCTGAAAACAATTATAGGATCGAAATCAACCTGGTTCAGTTCAGATTTACTTCGAACACAAGACAACAGAGATTCTTCAGGACTTTGGATCAAGGATATTAACAAAGACAAGATGGATCAAGAAACGGAGGTCTTCGCGCACACGTCACACAGTGCTGGAGAAGCTGACAACACAGATTGTCGCTTCTGAAATCCGTTCATCAATATGAAAACCGAAGAGATTATTACTAACATGTGGTGGTATCGTTAATACGATATTCATCCACATGTATGACGTGTTTAGACCACGATGAGCATAGCTATCCCATAGTCCAAAGCTCTTCTGGATCAGACCGATCACAGAAGAGCAGGGTATCTGAAGATGATGTCCGCAGTTGTGTGGGGGACTCCATCTCTCTGGCCTTATCCGAGGCCATCGGTGTCCAGACATCAGTTTCCGAAGGCGGCGAAGCTAATGGACGCTGTGGTTAGAGAGGTCACAGAGAGAGTGAATAGCCTCCAAAAGCTCTGAAAGTGGTGAAGTCAATGAGGGGAGACTCTGGTCTCTCATTCCTTCATCGTGAGACTACAGACAATGGTCCGACATACAGCCAAATCTTTAAAAAGTGTGCATTAAGGAAAGTCAGCAAAGCCTCACAACGGAGGCTGCGAGACATCTTAACGATGGAAAATTTGCCAGTGGAGGACATTGCACTGATTGAAACGGAGGAGTCATGGCACGCCCCCTTTTTCTTCTCGGTGTGGACAGGAACAGAGTCGGGAACGAGCTTCGTGGACAAAACAATCGAGGCCGGTGAGAATGATCGTGCATGAGAGGGCCAGAAAATCAATGCAATTGATTACAATGTCCACATTTCGGAGGAAGAAGTCGAGATGTTTCAGTTTGAATCCTCCCAGGATGCAGATGAGTTGGCCTCTGCGATTGTCAGGGAGACAATCGAGGAGTTTGAATAGCTCAGAAGGTACACTGCGGAATCTCTGGCTGTATCAGAAAAGACCTCCTACTGGAAAACAGTGGAGGCCAAACTAAAAGCATTCTATGCTCAGCGTTTTGCGATGGGGTCACTTCTTGGCCTAATGGCAAAATTAAGCGTGATTCCAAATGCCCCCAGAAGAAAGGTCTTCTGCGGGTGAGCTGATGGAGAAGGCCGATGCGATAATTAGAAGCTCATATCATTAAATGAGAGGTATAAAGATGGTCACAGAAGAAATGACCCCCGACGAGATAATCAACTCCGTCGGAAGCGGTCAAAGCAACACGCTGCATAGACCTCGGCAACATAGTTTCCCAACACCTTAAGCCTGAGGCTCCCATGGAGACTTCGCTTCACAATACAGGGCGAAGTGGACAGTTCATGGGCGATAGGCAATGGCTTAATCGGCAGGTGATACGCCCAAGCGAAAGAGGGACCACGCAAGTCTCGTCATGAAAAAGATAAGGGAAGTGGTCTGTCAGACTGAGACCCCCTCGTCGTGGGAAGTTGCTGCATGACACCCTGTAGGAAGTTGCTGATACACTGTAGGAAGTTGCTGCGTGACACCTGCGGAGGTTGAAGCAAAACACCTCCGACCCCTGTTCAATCCGTTAAGTCACCAATGAAAGCTACGGCCTCTCTCGCTCTCTCTCGCTTCTGTCTCTTTCTCGTCTCTCTGTCTCTCTCTCTTCTTCTCTTTTTCACGTCTCTCTCTCCTGTCTCTCTCTCTCTCGGCTCTCTCTTCTTTCTGTCTCTCTCTCTGTCTCTTTCTCTCTCTCCGTCTCTCTCTCTCTCACACTCTCTCCTCTTCGCTCGCTGTAGGTGGTGGTGCCGTGGCAGCAGGATCAGGTCAACTTTCTGTGATTGACACACACACTCACACAGTCAGGAAGTACTGCCAGCGCTGAGGTAGTGCAGGTACCGTACACACAACACACACACACACATATATGCACAAAATACACAAATACACTGTATATATAGTGGTGTGTGCTGTGCTGTGTGTGTGTGTTTCAGGGACGGGATGACGGTGTGTTTGTAACATCAGTGTGTTTCGTGAAGACTACCCTCTCTACCATCACAGCATGATCAAAGTCACCGTTTACCACGCAGGGAGGAGCCTGCAACAGTGAGTGTGTGTGTCTGGTGTGTGTGTCTGTGTGTGTCTGTGTGTGTGTGTCTGTGTGGTGTCTGCTGTGTCTGAAAATGTGTGCAAGAGGATTAGCCGCCAATGGCTGTGTACATGTGTAATACCCCCAGTGGTGCTAGCTTCAACACACACACACCCTCTCTCAACACGCAACACACACACACACAACACACACACACACACACACACACACACACACTCTCTCTCTCTCTCTTCTCTCTCTCTCTCCTCTCTCGGTCTCTCTCTCTCTCTCTCTCTCTTCTCTCTCTCCTCTCTCTCTCTCTCTCACCTCTCTCTCTCACCACACACACACACACACACACACACACCACACACACACAACACACACACACACACACACACCAAACACACACACTCTCACATACACACACACACACACACACACTCTCACATGTACACACACACACACACACACACACAGAAAGTGAGATTTTAGATAAATCAATATTTCTGTTATTTCCTCTCTTTCCTTTCTGTAAAAACTCGACCCCGGTTGACCCGCCGGGAGCTTCGTTAATCTGCATATTTCCCATAATGCCGAAGGGGTTTTAATCCTGTCGGCCATGACGAAAGAGGAGGAGGAGGAGGAGGAGGAGGAGGAGGAGGTGATGGAGGGAGCAGAGAGATACTCAGCCGGTGTGTGTTAGTCCCCTCAGACAGAAAGAGGAGACGACCGAAGCAGGATTTTAAGACGACTGATGGATTATTTTGTCCGGAATCCTCCTCTTTATACTCGCTTATCTTCCTCTTCTTCTTCGTCTTCATCGTCTCTCTTTTATTTTATTTGCGTTTTATTTTTCCGTCTGTAAATCCATCGTGATGCGGCAGGAGGAGAACGAGGAGAAATCGTCTTTTAGCTGCAGCAGATTTCACTTCCCCATCTCTTTCATTCAGCAGTGCAGCAGGCTTTAACTTCAGTGGTGCATTCAGGTGCAGGTGGGAAATTGGAAGTTAGGTATCCCATTCATTGCTGGAGGTTGTTGTGTTACTCCGCAGCTACTGTAAGTGCTCGGATTACCTCTTGTTGTTTACAAAAACACTGTTCAGTTGTTCTTTGATGAAAACTTTTGCCAGTTTTAAGATGTTTTATAGTTCAAGTTCTCGTTCGGCAGCTTGTGTCTGAATTTGAGAACTTCGGAAATATTATATTCCTCAAAAAAAAGTACAGATTTTGTGTCCGTACGGGAAATTACGCAGCTTTATTCGTTCTCCTCTTTTCCAGAATTTAGGCGCCATTTTTACTGCAAAGCAGGCAGCAGTGAGAGGAGGTCAGAGGTCAGAGGTCAACAGCAGATTGGAGAAACACTGAAGACTGATTCTCAAAACTCGATTTCTTTTGGTTTTAATGAGAGAAAGTGAGATAATTTAAATAAAGAAGATGATAAAGCATCTTAGAGCGTTTAAAGCTCTTTAATAGCTTAATAAACATCTTTGATTGTACACTATCTTACTAGCTTTGGTCTGTTTTATTATGTTTGTGTTTGTTTCTCACTATAATTAACTGACTTTAACTCTTAACTTGCTGCATAAGAACAAGAAAGAGCCTGTTTTAATGTTATTTTGTAGGATTAGCTCTGGCAGCAGAGAGTTGAACGTCGGCGGGTTGTTAAAGTCTGCAGCAGATGTGAGAAAACAGGAAGACAGAGGAAGAGGAAGTTAACAGGAAGGAAGAGGTCGTGTTGTTTCTTGTTGGTTTTTTCTTGCGTTTTTTTTGGTTGTTTATATTTCCGGGCATGCAGAGAGTGACGATGGCGTGCACCAAATGTTTCTGTCCACCAGGAGAGAACATCTCCTCTGCTGGACAGGTAGGGAAGTGCACACAAACACACACACACAGAGAGAGAGATAGAGAAACGTTTGTTTGTTAGTGTGTGTGTCTGTGTGTGTGAGTTTGATGGGGATTAGCTTGTAATCTTAAAAGCCTCTTGTTCTGCCCAAGAACTCAGTGAGACAGATTAGCTTGGTGTGTGTGCGTGTGTGTGTGCGCCAATGAGGAAGTGTGTGTGTGTGTGTGTGTGTTAACATCTCAGTTTCCTGTTTGTTTGTTTCCTTCTTTCCGTCTGATGGTGCTTCTGGTTTATTCAGTGTGTGCATTAGAGGCTGAAATGGTTGGTTTTATTAATTGATCGCAGATTAATCCCAATAATTAATTAAACAAAATGCCTAAAAAAAGTTGCTCATTCGGACAAAAGAGGGAATTTGAGGCAACGTTAAGTTCAGGGACACTATGAACAATTTATAAACTGATTGATGGATTAAAAAAGACAAAAGGAAGTGATAATGAAAGTAGTTTAACTGTAAAGTGGTTTCACTTTATCTGTTTGACTTGTTGTAGAGTTTAAACAGTTAATTAATCAATTACATTCTCTGTTTCCAGCTCCTCGGTTATGAGGATTTTCTGCTGTTTTTCTTTGTTTTATATGATTAGAAATGGAATACCTGTGTTTTTTGGACTGTTGGTCGAACAAAACAATCAATATAATAATTAACTGTTCAATAAAAATAAAGAAAGTGAGTCATTTTTCACTTAATTTCTGTTCTGAATCAACTTGCTGTAGGTAGTTAAAGCTGCACTGTTCATATTTAAAGCTGCTGTAAGTGAAATCTGTCTGAGTTCTCTCTCCTGATTGGACAAACACGGTTCCCACACGTCCTGGAAAACCTGGAAATTGATTAAAATGAACAAATAGTGGCTGGAAATAATCTTGTTTCTGCCCTGGAGAAAACTGGAAATTTTATTTTAATATTACAGTTAGAGGAACGCTGTAGTCAGTAGACTTTCTCACAGCAGCTGTTTAATTCAGGTTAAACAGAGTCGGGTAAGATAGGCTGCTACACGAAATGGAACAGAGCCCTAATTGGTATCATTGGTTGTTGTGAAAAAAAGCAGAAAACTCGCTGACCACCGCTTGTTGACCTGTATTCTTCAATCAAACTCCCAGATAATCCCACACGTCCCTGGAAAACCAGGATATTTAGAGACTAGTTTGCAGTCATGGAAACACCTGGAAAACTGATTAAAATGAATAAAAATATCCTGGAAATAATCTAAGTTGTAACAGGACACTCTGTACTTGGATTATTTCCAGGTTGTTTAAGTTGTTCTGTTCTCCTGTTGTCACCTTTTAATGTATATTTATCATAACTTTATCATCACGTGGTTACAACTAACTGCAGTTATCTTCATCATCTGTCACTTATTCCCTCAGACAGCTTCAGTTTCCTCTCGCAATAGATGAAGAAAACCAGTAAATATTCACATTAAAGAAGCTGCAACCCTCAGTTCATGGACTTCATTGAACGCATCATCAGTCGGCGCTCAACATTTTACCTTAAATGCTCTTAAATATTCATCTGACGCCTCAAAACCCTCCGTCAGTTTCACCTGAGGAGCAGAACGGGAGAATGAATCTACACTAAATGAATTAAAGAAATAAACGAGTTTGATGTGAGTTTGATGCTTTCTGTCGGTGTTCTGGGTGATTTGAGTGCTTTTCACTCGTCAGGATAATCCTCTGAGCTTCTGATTATCGTCATAGCAACAGAGTGATTTTAATGCCATCGCTGTGGAGACCTTTTGGTACCCGGCGGTGACCCGGTGCCGATGGGTGTGTGTGTGTGTCTGCTTGCGGCAGGCAGAATGGGCCTTTTATTAATTAATGTTACAGGACATTTAGACTGTGTGACCCCTTTATGTACGAAAGGAAAGGGACTTTATTTTTGCCCCGAACTGAGTCTCTTAGCCAAAACCCCGAACCAAAACCAGTCAGTATAAAACATGAACATATTAAACCTTCAGAAAGACATTCAGCTTTTCTCTCTCTGAAGTTTAATTTGGGTGTGAATGCAAATATCACACACAAGTAATGTATCATTAGGGCTGAAAGATACAGTAAAAAAACATCATACTGCGATTATTTTGACAGATATGCAAATTTTTGCATCAGAAATTTAAATTTTAACTGAAAAAAACGATTAAAATCATCATAAAGGCACATTTTTTGGGGTCCGCACCACACAAACATGTTTTCTAGGCGAAGACATCTCCACAAACCTAAATTTCTTAATCAAAATGCTGCTTTGTGGCACATTTTAATTATATTTATATTAAAAAAACTGCAGTTTCTGCGTTTTTGCATGTTGCACGATAATATTTCTATTAATTGTACAGCTCTATTTATTATTAATATGTTTGTTTCTTCTGCTCTAACTGCAAAAAACTGGAAATGTGGACCCAATAGCAGAGACAGAGACCAGAGCCGCCCTGGGGACAGTTCAACTGGATATAAACTGAATTACTTCAGTAAAACACAGAAACAGACCATTAAAACCTCCCTGTCTCACTCTCTGTCTCACTCTCACTCTCTGTCTGTCTTTAGAGGAGCTTTCTGGGTTTCACCTCCTTCTCCATCAGAGATCTGCTCCGGTCCAAGGAGCCTCACGTCTCCCTGAGCCTCAGGTAAACACACTTCCTGTTTCACTTCTCAAACCCTGTCCTGAACGACGATAAGATCCTTTAAAATCTCTTAAACCTTAAAGTTTATTAACATCTTACATCCTTCAGCTTCAGCTTTATTCCCAGCAGCTCCTAAACACTAACACACTAAACTCTCCCTCAACCTGTTCATAAACCTCCATAAATCCGTCCTTTGATGCGCCTCTGCAGTCTCACTTTAAGGACCTTTAACCACCTCGCTGAGCTGTTGGGAGGGGCTTCTGATTGGTCGTTGCTTGGATACCTGTGGCCAGATGAGGAAGTGAGAGGAGGAGGGAGGGGAGTGCGTGGCTCCACCTCAATCTGAAGCAGAAAATCTCTTTCTGTTTCTGCATCATGATTCAGAGAAGGTGATAGGACGAGAGCAAGAAAGAGTTGGAAAGAGAGGGCTGAAGTGAGGTGGGAGAAAGAGCGAGAGACGTAGAGAGAGAGTGGGAGGGAGAGAGAGAGAGGCATATGTGTACTGTAGGTGTGTCTGTGCTGGCATGTTGCAGCCAGGTGTGTCTGGTTATTGCCCGGCGCAGGTTGGCAGAGCTACAGAGCTTCATGCTGCTACGTGATGTAGTTTCCAGTTAGAGAGGAGAGTTAGCCTCGTCTTCCTCGTAGTTTCTGTCGCTCATTAGCTTTGATCTTTGATCGATCGTATAAGTAAGATATCAGACTCTTGTTTTTGTTTTGTTTTCACTTCGCTTTGTGTTGCTGGTTATGTTTTATTAGCTCTTTTGTCTGTGTGAATGGTTCATATGAATGTAGTTTTTCCAGATATGTAACAGTATGTTTACGACCCTGATGAGGTGGACGGGGAGAGGACGTGAAGGGTTATCAGATTAATGAATTACCTTAACGACAGGAGAGATTTGATTGTCCTGCTGAAGGTAAAACATCTTCTTTAGCACTCACTAATATTTGTGTTTCCAAACATTAAGTCTTTCCTTCCTCTCGCTGTCTTTCAATCAGGACGATGGACGGAGTGAACGAGGTCGGGGAGGTGAAGGTGTCCCGTCTGCAGATGGAGGGAGAGAGCGAGACGCCTCCTGGACACAAGGTAGAGGAGGAGAGAGAGAATAAAGTGCTGCTCCTCTTTACTTTCTCTTCAGCCTTCCACTCTCTCTGACTGTTTGACACTTTAGCTCTGCGGGTTTAGTCGGTTTCAGGTTTAGTCGGTCGGCTTTAATCAACCTGCGGCAGCTCGGGTGAGAAGAGAGAGAAGCAAATGAGTATTTTCCCGTCCATTTCACCTCCTTTTAATGCCGTCTCTCCTCCTCCTCCTCCTCCTCCTTTTCCTCCTCCTCTTCCTCAGTGTCCCGCGCTGTGCGACAGTCTTCACACTTCGGTCCACGACAAAGAAAACAGTCCGATGATGAGAGCAGGTGAGACACAAACACAGTAAACAGTTTTTGTTGAAGGATGTTGTGCCCTTATATGACCTTTCCTTCCTGTGTGTGTGTGTGTGCGTGCCGCAGTGTCTGTGTGCTCAGGCCTCTCGCGTGCTCCAGGCTCTCTCGCGCGCCGCGCTCAAAGGCTGCTGACATAGGTCCGGGACGCACTGCTCCGCGCGCCGCTCTCTCTCTCTTCCTCACGCACGCGACACTGCGCGGCCTTCAGAACGACACGGCCCGTTCACCTTCTCGTCGCTCGCTCGCTCCGCTCGCGTCTCTGCCCGATCGCTGCTCGTCCCGTCGTACGTCGCTCTGTCGCGCTCGCTCGCTCGCTCCTGTAGGTCCACCCCATCACATGCTCACTCTGCTCTCACCCAACTCGGCATGTGGCCACGGCACGCCGATCTACCCCAGGTACAGTACACCCACCTCCTCCTCCTCTCCGCTGTCAGCACAATCACTTGTTTTCTCAGTCTCTTCGCCTACTCACCACACAACCGACTACACTCCTAACATCTTCACGCAACCCACTCCCACCACCCTCGCACTCACCAATCACCATACCCATAACACTCCACAATAATAATAATAAAAAACTACTCACTTATTCACGTTATTCAGTTATATATTCGGGTATCATACTTAGTATAGATCCGTATGCTACTGTCTTCCTCACGCGCCTCACGCAGGTGACCAGCCCCGCGCGTCGGACGACGCTTTCACCCCACTGGGACCGGGCTCCGCCAACGACGTCGTCAACCACTGGCAGCAACCTGAATTAAGAGCTTGCGTATCAGGAGGAGACGCCTCGCACGAGGTTCGAGAAAGCTCTCCAGGTGAACAGGATCGGCGGTTCGACTCCCCACGACCTCCTCCCGCTGCTGCGTTATATAACAATTACAGTCTGTTTACTGTTCTCGCTCGCGTTCGCGTCCTCTCTCGCGCGCCTCGCTCCTCTCTCCACTTTATCGGTTTTTCCTTCAAAGAAAACATCGACCCCAAAGTGTAGATAGAAAAAATAAATGCAAAAAGTGACCAAAAAGTCATAAATAAAACAACACCACTACTGTTAAAAAATACAAAGTAAACTACCCATAAAAGTAACATTTGGTAGATTAGATTAGAACAATTAATATAAAACATAATGTCTGTATGATTGTTGTTGACTGCTTAGCACAATATTGTTATATTGTTCGCTTTATCATGTAAATATATGATATTCGTTATTTATACGCCAACACAACAATAACAAACAACAGCTCTAATCCAAACTTTTTCTTTTTGCTTCTTGGTTTTTTACTTTTTACACTGAACAGAGGTTGACAATATTTATGGTTGACATCTATTATATGGGTTTTCACATACAAAGAGACATTGCTTTTGTTGCCAAAGTGGTACCACCAGAACCTGAAGAGAAAAGTAAAAGTCCAGAAAAGCCTGGTTCGTACAAAGGTCACAGGGCCTCTAACTAGCGGTAATACCATCTCAGTGACGCTTTCCTTAAACCCGCAGGAGACTCCAGGCGAAGTTCTTCCTTTCTGTAAACATTTAGAAAGATGTAAAATAATGTGTTTTTAAAATAAATAATAATGTAATTTTAATGTTCTATGTTTTATCCTCGCAATGTTTCCGTCTCCGAAGCTCCCTCGTCCTGTTTCAAGTCGTAGCTCCAGTAAGTGGACAAACCATGCTTCAGTTCCGTCCCCCGACTAACCTGCACTCTGCAGAGATGGAGGTACTGATCCAGAGCGCGCGCGCTCTCCTCTCTTCCCTTTCTCCTCCTTGTCTTATTCTACTCGCCACCCTTGTCCTCACTCGTTCCCTCTCATACATTTTAATAGTCCTCTCTCATCTCCCTCATCTCTCCTCTCCTCCCTCTCTCTCCGTCTCTTCTCTCTCTCTCTCTTCTCCTTCTCCTAGGTGTGTGGTACGAGGTATACACGTTCGGTCGCATCCGCCGTGATCACCACCAGCTCATTTAAACACGGAGGACTTGAGGCGCGCGTGCTGAGCAAACGCAAACAACCACAGAGACAAGGTGTGTGTGTGTGTGTGTGTGTGTGTGTGTGTGTGTGTGTGTGTGTGTGTGTGTGTGTTTCTCCTGATATTGTTGCGGGCGGTTTAATCTCTATAATCTCCGCTCTGTCGGGGATTAGTGGCGCTGCATTGTGGATTAGCACATTGAGAGCTTCGGTCGAGGTACAGCAGCTGTAAGGTGGGAAAGGGAGAGTGTGAAGCCCTCAGAGTGTTTCTTAGATTTCATAGATGGTAATATCCTTATAATATTCCCATATAATGTTTTATTTTACTCCCCATTATCATCAGAATACCGTGTCCTGCAGAACCTGGAAATTGATTTACAAATGACCAAATAATGCTGGAAATAATCTACGTTGTCCTGTAAATTTCGGAAACATGAGCCCCGCAGGTTTACGTAAATTTAGGTGTGTATTTTTTTCCCCCATATTTACATGCAAAAAGCATCACATTTCTTGTTGCTGTAGTTGATAAAAATACGAACAGAGATTAACAAATAATTAATTGTACGTGTAATTAACATTTTAACTTTCTAGAAGATGAATTTTCTGTAAAATAGTTTAAATTCTACTTGATTTGAACTGTTATTTATCAGCTGTATGGTTTTTCTGACTGTTTGTAACTAAGTGTTGTCCTGTATTGTCAAGAAAAACACCTGGAAACTTATATAATACAAATAATGTGACACTGAAACACCCCTGTACTCTTTAAATGTGACAATCAATCAGTGACACTGTATTCTAATAGTGTTTTTATGGCCTAAAAAGTATCAAACATTAAGATTAAACGTGTATATTTGCTTTAATCTGGGTTCGAGCAGGTGAACTCACCTTTGTGTCGTGATTGGATTCATTTCATTGTTTCGTTAAAGCTTCTTTAAACCTGCGCTGACGTCATTTAAAGCTCCACACCGGTGCTTTCGTAAGGTTCATTTTCAGATGTGTGCCGTACAGCTTTAGAGTTTGTGATGATCGTATTTTCAGCTGTTCCAAGGCAGAATGTTGCTTTCCATTTATTACTGTACTGCATCAGAGGACTGCAGTGTATTACTTTCTGGGAATATATCACAAAATAATGACTTAATATCACAAAATAATGACGTAATGGGGGAATATATCGCTCTTTTTTTTAGGAAAACCAGCACTTCTCTCCATGGATGAAGTTTGGTTTTAATAACAGAACTATAGATAATTATTCTTAATGTTAGGGATCTAAAAACATATCAAAATGTAATATATTCTGCTACAAAATCTCTCATATGCAGCTATTTCAGTGTGTTCTTATGGATGTTTGATGTTTTATAAGAAATTAATAGAAACCAATGGGCCAAAAACAACCATAAATGTTTGGAAAGTGTACATGATCTGTAAATGAGCTAAAACACACTGTAGGAGTGTGTGTAGGCCCAAAATAGTCCAGTAGGTGTCGCCTTCGTGCTTCAGATCACTTTCAGTTCAGGTAGGAAGCTTCACTCAGGGACTGGTATGGTTGCACTTCACTCCCTCTCTCTTTCTCTCTCTGTCCAGCTCCATCTCTTACTCCCCGGACGAGAGCTCCAGAGCGAGGGAGCTGCTGGCCAGCGTCGCCCGGCTGCAGCCTCTGGTCTTTGGGCACGCTGAGGAGCTGCTGTCCGTCTCTCTGGAGCTGAACGCCGCCCGGCTGCAGCAGGTCCTGGACGGCCTGATTCAGCAGGTGGGGATTAAAAACATACCGGACCAGGAGCAGTAATACCAGATGTTACCACTAGGTGGCTTAGCTGCTTTTCCACAACTCGCTCCTGCAAATGTTTCACAATAAAAGCTTTGAAAAACTGGGGAAATGTGCAAACTAGGTCTATGTGTTGTCCTGTACTGTCCAGAAAACTCCTGACGAGTGAGGAGGGAAGAAAAACTCAGGAAACATATTTTGAAGAGACAGAAATTAGATAAACTCTTGACTCCTTCCTTTCCTTCTCGCTCAGACGGAGCAGTTTGTTCACGCGCTCAAAGACGAGCTGGTGAAGAGCGCCCTGCTGGCGATCCACTACCAGAGCTCAGTCGGCAGCAGCCACGTCCACAGCAACGGGCTGATCTGTGACATCGTGGCAGACAGCCAGGAGGGACCGGACGCTCGCCGGCGGGACTCGGAGTACGACGAGGAGGAATGGGCAAGTTGGAGTGCGTTCACGAGATCTGAATTTGTTCATGATGGTTCTGGACTCAGTTTTTTATAAGTGTGTGTGTGTTTGTGTAGGACAGAGCGTGGGCGAACGTCGCCATGAGCCTCAACTGCATCATCGCCATGGGCGACCGGCTGCAGGGCCGCGAGGACCGCCCACAGGAACTGACATCATCAGAGCAACAGGAAGCCGGCGGGGACACGAACTCTCAGAACAGCGGTGGGACGCAAACACAAAACTTTGGTTTATTTATCACAAAACAGCTGAAACTTGAGTCCTGAACTCGTCTGTCTCCTCCAGCGTCGTCCTCCGTCTCCTCTGCGTCCTCCGTCTCCTCTGCGTCCTCCTGGCAGGAGCAGCTGCTCCCTCTGGTGGTCACTCTCAGGGATTGCGTGCGCGAGGCAGTGGGGAAGGCCCGAGCCGCCATGACCTTCGTGGTCCTGCAGGGGGCGTTGGCCACGACCGTCGCTCAGGGACCCGCACACATCGTCCAGAGACGCCACGCCGTCTTCAGCCAGGCGGTGAGAGAGAAAGTTTTTCTCTTAATGTAATAAAAATATTTAGTTTTATTGTCGTCGAGGACTTTACCATCCCCAAATAATGACTTAATATCATCAAATAATGACTTAATGTCACAAATAATTACTTAATATCACCAAATAATGACTTAATATCACCAAAT